AAATTATTTGAAAGAAAATTTTGCTATTTTTCTTTTTCTTGATCAATTTTATGCAGCCACCGAAAGTTAATTCGTGGACTAGAAAGGATTAAAACAAACATAAGTAATCATAATACGTCTAATTCATATATATATATATATATATATATATATATATATATATATATATATATATATGTTTGTGCTTGTATGCGTTTGTTTGCAGTAAATAAAGAATTATCTTGTCAACAATATATATAAAATATATATATATATGTATATATCTATATATATGTATCTATCTATCTCTCTCTCTCTCTCTATATATATATATATATATATATATATATATATATATATGTATATATGTATACATGTAGTTACCTATCGATATAATTATATATATATGTATGTATATATATATATATATATATATGTGTGTATATATTTATCTATATATATGTATATATATATATCTATCTATATATATGTATATATATCTATATATAAATATATATATGTATATATCTATCTATATAAATATATATATGTATTCATATATGTATATATCTATATATATGTATATATCTATCTATCTCTTTCTATATATATGTATGTATATATATATATATTATATCTATCTATCTACACACACACACACACACACACACACACACACACATATATATATATATATATATATATATATATATATATATATATATATATATATATATCAAAGTATATAATTGGTATACACGGAATGAATTCCAATAACCAACAATTACTATTCTTAAAAGAGTGCTCAATACAAAGTGCCTTCGATTGTCTAGATTCAGATAGTGTAGGATTATATAGAGATGATGGATTATTAGTTGTTAAAAACTCAACTAAAATTAAGGTAGACCGTATTAGGAAAATGATCTATAGGGTATTTAAGGATTTAGGTCTTAGGACAATAGTTACTACTAATGTTAGACAAGTAGATTTTCTAGATGTCACCCTAGATCTTGCTAACAATATTTTCCAACCATATGTGAAAGTTAATTCCAACCCATTATAAGTGCATCCTAATTCCAACCATCCCCTTCGGTTATCAAACATATACCCACTTCCATTGAATTTAGAATTAGCGCTAACTCTTATAATAAGGAGGTTTTCAATAAACATAGTGATTTTTATAATTCTGCACTAAAAAATAGTGGATACAAAAATACCACTATTCAATATAAAAACCCTGTTAATTGCAACCATAATAAGAAAAGAAGATCTAGAAAGGTTATTTGGTTCACTCCCCCCTTTCAATGTTATGGTCAAAACTAAGTTAGGGCGTATATTTATTAACCTAATCAAAAAACATTTCCCCAACCCTGAAACTAACCCACCTAGTAAAATATTTAATCCTTATACCCTTAAATTAAGCTATAGTTGTGCTGATAACCTAGAGCAGATAATTAAAAAAACATAACAACATAGTCTTTAACAAGTATAGGAATTCAAAAGGCTTGACTAATCAACAGGTTACTAACTGCAATACTAATTATAAGAATACAAATAACAACTTATGTAATTGAATAATTGTCCACTACAAAATAACTGTGGGATTACTTCTGTAGTCTATCTTGGTACTATTTCAACAATTGAAAATCCAAAATAAAGAAACATTGGTTCTACTATGAAAACATTCAAGGAACGCTGGCGGGGGCATAGCAATCCTTTAATCACAGTGAATATAGGTACATGATTTCATTATCCAAGTATTTTTTGAAAATAAGAACAAAACACCTACGATTAAATGGAGTTTGGTTAAGAAAGCTCGTTTAACTCCCTATATTATGTTACCTATGCCTTAATGAAAATTTGAAATTTTAGATTTAAAAACAAGGCTGATCTCTTAAATCAAAGATATGAACTGACAGTAAATTGTAAACACCGTTTAAATTTAACTTAGTGTAGGGGTCGTATACTTTAAATGATAATGATATGTCGCTGTATTTTTTAATAGATTTATTTTTATTGCATAATGGTCATACTTACGATATAAGTGTGTATTGTTTACCTGCATAGTGTTATGTGTTGGTGTAAATATATATATATTTATTTATGTGTTGGTTAGAGTATTTGCACTGAGGAATGTGTAGGTTGGTGTATAAATGTATTTATGTTTTTTTTTTTTTTGTTTTTTACATGTGAGGGGTGTATATGTGGGGTTTATATGTATATATATGTATGTGTGTGTGTATATATATATTATGTGGGAAGTTTGATTATGAGAGAAAAGGTTAATAATTATTACTGTATATGTGGTGTGTGTGCTTATATATGTATGTGTGTATGGGTGTGTGTATATATGTATGTATTTTTGTGTGTATGTGTGTATATGTATGTATGTATGTATGTATGTATGTAGATATATATATATATATATCTTTGTATATATATTATATATATATATGTGTGTGTGTATATGGTTGATATATATATATATATGTATATATGCATATATATATGTATGTGTGTATATGTATGTATGTGTGTGTATGTGTATGTGTATGAGTATGTACAGGTATGTATATGATTAAATCACGGCAGTATAATGGTTGGCCAGCATGGTTCACTAGATTGGGTGCGACTGAGTAATGAGTTCGTTCCTCACTGGATGCCCCTATGATTTCAGCTTTGTACGATATATTTGTATATATATATGTATGTGTATGTGTTTATGTGTGTATATATATATATATGTGTGCATATATATATATGTGTATATATATATGTCCTATTTTTTGTGTATATGTATTTATATTTATATATATTTCTGTTTGTATGAATGTTTTTATATATTTGTAATTTGACTATATGTATATTGCTGTGTGTTGGTGTTTGAATATATTTATATCTATATGTTAGTTCGTTTATATATATTTTTGAAAGTTGTTGTATTTTTATGTATGTATGTATATATGGGTTTTGTTTTTGCAGGTAGATATATTTATGTATATATATATTTTTTTGTAGATATGTATGTATGTGTGTATATATATTTATGTATGTTTGTGTATGTATATATATAGGTGTGTGTGTTGGAACCTATTATTGAGTTTGTGTGTATGTGTAGGTTGGAAACTTTGGTATTTGACTGTTTTTATATATCTAAGTATGTGTGCATAAAAGTCTATGTGTGTATATATGTGTGTGTATTTTATGTATATTTGTACATATGTACTTTTATCATAGATATGTATATACCTATATGTTTATGTTTATATATTTATTTGTGTGTATTTCTGTACGTATATGTATGTATGAATATATATATATATTTTTTTTTTTTTTATGTGTTTAATTTGTTTTTCTGCGTGTATATATATATATATATTATATATATATATATATATATATATATATATTTATTTCTTTATCCTGTTTTTCTTTGCCAAATATATGTATTATCAACTTATATGATTAATAATATATATATATTTTATTGATATTTATTGTTTTAGAGTTTTCGTTTTAATATATTAAATAATATTATTTTAAACATTTTATCTTTATATATTTGCTCCTTAAGTTATAATTCAATAAGTGGTTGCATTTATTTAAGTCTGAAATATTTACTGGTTGTGATTTCTCAATGTCTATGCCATTGTGGATGTATTTTGTGTATATATCGGTGTCTATGTGGAGTTGTATTCATTTAACTGTGTGTGTGTATAAGTGTTAGTTTCGTCTCCTTTTTTTTTTTTTTTTTTGGAGTTGTTCATGTATTACCTCTTCTTTTTTTTTTTTTTTTTTAGTGTGTGTGTATGTGTGTGTGTGTGTGTGTGTGTGTGTGTGTGTGTGTATGTATCTAATTATGTCTGGATGCGTATGTATTATAATCTGATTGTGTTTTTGTTGTGTCACGCGTGAGTTTAAGACCATATTCACAAACTTTAAAATAAAAACGGAAAAGAAAAAAAATATATACATGTATTATCAGATGACCGGACGAATTGTAGCTTTTTGTCTTGTCAGACGTAATTTCAATGAAGAAATGAATTGAATAAACATATATATTTTTTTCTTTTCTCAATAATTTTGTAGTTTTTAAACTTAATAGTGATTAAATTTGGATTTTAAAATTGCCAGTTTTTAATTTTAATATTAAATTTTATCATATAAATTTATAATTATTAGTTAGTAAAAATTATTTTAATATTACACGTATTTAAAGATCTAAATAGCTATAATAGCAGGATTTTGTTGTCAAGCTTTTGAATCTTTCTGTACTTCGTTTTGATTGGTTATTCTAGCTTTTGTAACAATGCTCCCCTAGTGTAGGATCGTTAATTAATCTGAAACTTTTAAAACCATTTATTTTCTTTTCAATACCATCACTTGATAAGACACAGAGTGTGTTGAAACAAAATGGCTATTTTTGTAGTGATTTTATAACATACTTATGTTATAAATTTTTTTATAAAAATAATTATATATATATATATATATATATATATATATATATATACTGTAAATAAATAGTAATAGTTTACAATATTGGCCAAGGAAACCCAATAAATGTATAAGTGACATTAAAAGTATGACTATATTTTTGCGCTAGTAGAAGAGTCATATGGAGCGAGCACCTCGTTGAAGTGATTTGCTGGACAGATTTGTTTATATTGTGTTAGACCATTTCTTTTTGCCAGTAGTTTCTGGTCTTGCGCCGTGTAAAGTGCATTTTTTTTATTTGCTCGTGCGTGTACAAGATGCGACGAAACAAACTCCGGGAATTTGAACTCTGTTCGAAGCGGAGGCCCGGTTTGTAAATATTGGGCTAGGGAGCTACTTGCAAATTGTTTTTCCATGGCTATTCCGGCAATTTTTAGAATATTTTATGATTATTCTTTTTATTATTTTCAAATGTTTTTTTTTATTTGTCTTTGCAATGGCCACGGCATTTTTATGGGTTCCTTGATTTCGATGTCTTCAGAAGGAATGCTGCTCTTGGCAAATGAGATCCAACGCTGTGGAAATTAAATAACGTAAAAAGGATTGGGGTCCAAAGATAAAGGTGGAGGTGACGAGAAATGTGAATGTCGGGATGGGCGGAATGAACGCGGGGGGGGGGTTAAAAATAGAAAGAAGTAAAGGAAATCAAGAAGGAATTGATGAAAGGAAAAATGAAGGTGGGGGAGATGCCCAATAAAAAAGGGTTGTAGAGAACAGAAGAGGAGCAGTTTGGCCGTCATGAAGATAAGAAGGAAAAAAACAGAAGGATGGATTAATGTAAAGAAAACGTAAGAAAAAACGATGTGAGCAACGGGAAAAAAATTGCCAGAAAAGAAAACACTCAGGAAGAAATGAAATCATTATATAAGAATAAAGTGTCGCTGCCGACACTTGAGTTTGAACGTAGAACGCCAGTGAGCAATCGCAGGCGATCCATTATTGAAGTAGACCACGTGACCAAGAGGAAACGCATATATATGTAGGAAGTACCTGACGACAAACGATCGCTATTTCTAGTCTATCCTCTATACTATACGGATCACCATTTCTACACTATCCTCTATTACTATACGGACCGCTATTCGCTATAGTATTCACTATACTACATCTCTATTCAGATCATTATACGGGTTAATTTTCGAGCGAGTATTATCGAGCAAGTACTATTAGTGTGAATCTTATTCGAAGGCGTCTGACACCAGTATTGTTCAACGGCGTACTATAGTTGTATCCACGATTACAAAGTCTCTACTACAACGAGCATTACGAAAGTGACAGCAAGAATTCGTTGGCAGCACAAAATTGGCAACGAGTGTTCGTTAACATTACAAGAAAAATAAAACACAAGCGCACGAAATATGAGGCGAAGAAAAGAATGAATGGACAATGTTAGTGCAATTGACAGTACTGTAATTCACAGTGGTCTAGGAACCTTTTATAGTGAATATAATATTAGGTTAATAGTGCTACATCTTATCTTTTTTTCAATTTGACTTTCAAGGTCATTATATTTATTCATATATTTTTGGTTTGGTTTATTTTGTTTTACGGCATATCAACCTCAATGGATTATTTAATGCCGGCAACATTTTTAGGATAGATTCGTATGAATAGAATATGTATTCTTTAGTTTAGATTGATTTGGTTTATTTTGTTTGACGGCATATCAACCTCAATGGTTTATTTAATGCCGACAACATTTGTAGGATAGATTCGTATGAATAGAATATGTATTCTTTGGTTTAGATTGGTTTGGTTTATTTTTTTTAATGGCATATCAACCTCAATGTGTTATTTAATGCCGACAACATTTTTAGGATAGATTCGTATGAATAGAATATGTATTCTTTGGTTAAGATTGGTTAGATTTATTTTATTTAGTTCATCGTCTTATCCAGGATGCGGATGTAGTTTATTGTCTAACCAAGGACGCGCATATATTTTTAACAGATACATTAATAAGGAGTGCCAGAGAAAAGCAATGATAACAACAAAATTGCAATATGAGCACTGGTAAAAGGGGTTGCTGAAGACATTAGGTTTATAATACCCAGAAATTCATACCCAGATCCCGTGACAGCACCCAAAGAGTGTGAGATCAATATCCGGTTAAGGCAGTGGGGGACTTTCAGAGGGAAATTAACTGACATCCATCAAGCGTGGCACGTGAAACTAGAACAGTCTACCCCAGTGAGCAAAAGGGTTCAGTTCGACATTCCAACCACTTGAAGAAGGCCGGAGCGTACAACGGCAGAAACGTTGTAATAAATATGGCGACAAAGATGAAGACAATAGTCCGAATAATGTACATAGTATCTCATCTCAGAAATATAGACAGACTCTGAAGGATATATATATATATATATATATAATTATTTATTTAAAAATAAGATTCCAAATCGCTACATAAGAGGTCTCATGTTTGAAAACTTCAATATAATCCTTTAAATTAAATTGAGTTGAAAGTAAAATGGGCTCCGTTCCATCTTCAATCGAAATTTTTGTTGGAATAACGTATATCTGAAATTTACTTGTTTTAAAATTGAAATCAAAATCCCCATGGTAACAGCTATGGTGAATTGTCTAAATTGGGTAGGCGAGTGTAGGGTGTTTATAATAAGTAGCGGTATAGAGATACTTTCAAGGTGTCAAGTCGGGGAAAGGTGGTGGTGTCAAAAATGAAACGGAAGATGTATTGGCCATCGTCTAGTTTGCTTGTCTATGGAGATTTATTTATTTTATTTTACTTTATTTTATTATGAAAGGGAATTGTGCATATAAAAAAAGAAAAACTTTCGTAACGTTTGTTTTTTGACGACTTCTTAAAGGGTTATCTTATATGTAAGGTATTTAAACTACTAATTTAGGCTATGGATTATGAAGTGTTTTATGTTGTATGCATGTTTGTAGTTAATTATCCCTACTATGAATCTGATGATTGGGCTATTTGTTAAACAAGTAATATAAATTTTTTTATCTAATAATTCAAACCAAAAATCTGATGATGCCTACAAAAAACTGTTAACTCGTGTCTATTATTTAATAGATTATTATTATTTAGAAGTTTAATAATGTGCAATTTTTCATGGAGGTACAAAAGGCATGGGTCATCCCAAGCTTTACATATTCTAGCCTTGTCAATAATTTTCCATTCAACTTTTGGTGTCTTATCTGTTTCCTTCAGGTGCCAAAAATATTTTGATAGTGAAGTCTGATTTCGTTTGTTTATATTATTAAAGGAGCACTTATGCTGCCTCCATCTATCTTTAAAATTATTCTTCGTGGACCCAATGTATATCATATTAGTGCTTGGGCTCTCTGTGGATGAAATAGTACACTGGTATACCACAGAATTAATACAACATTTATTTTCTAATGGGCAGTCTTCTGGGTTTCTACAGTTACATAATTTTTCCATTTTATCGTCTGATTTAAGTGCAGAGTTTTTATTAATACTGTTTTGGCATGGGGGTTGGTTCAAGATCTTATTATTGTGTTTTTTTATTATGCGTTCAAGATTATCAGAGCAGCTGTAGCTCAATTTTAGGGTGTTCTTATTGAATATATTACTAAGCTTACTATTGGTGGGGAAGTGTTTATTAATTAGAACTAAGAATTTCTGTCCTAGTTTAATACTAACCCTTTGGTTGAACGGAGGGGTGTACCAAATGATATTTCTTTTCCTGTTTATATATATATATGCAACTATCATTATTAAAAATATCAGATTCCATACGGAATATATATATATATATATTCTAAAACTATATATAGTTTTAGGGTGTGCTATATTTATGGGATAAAGTACTCAATATCAGAGATAGAGCATATATAAATATAAAGTAAACATGAAACAGCCTGTCGCCTCTGAGTGTTGACTTCAATGTTCACTTTTATATTTATACACACACATATAAATATATATATATGCATGTGTGTGTGTATGTATACGAGTATATCTTTATCATTGCCATTACACAGTATATAGACTGTGTGCCGAAATTTGCAGCGACATTTTTTTATTATTATTACATAATCATCTCATAGCGTAAACTATTTAGATTGATAATGAAAAATGTATAAAATATATAGGTGGACGATTGCAATTTGAGATTTCTGTGATAGATCGAATTCATTCATAAAGTGATCAGGTTCATTGGTAATCATTGCACAAATGCCACAAAAATTATTATTTTATTTCTCTGACACTATTCGCTGGTTCATCTATCTCATCATCAAAGGGAATGAAAATAAATTCAATAGGATTCAATAAATTGTTCCAGTGAAACTGCCATAAACACGTATTAATAAAAAAAACTGAAACAAAAATATAATTCAAGTTTAATTCGTCAACTGAAAGCAATATTTTGTAAATTCTTTTTTATAATCAAGGAAAATAGACTGGCCAAAATTGCAAGAAAAATACGACACGATAAGTAAAAAAAAAAAGAAAAAAATCAAAAATCATTTCACGATAAATTAAGAAGCAGAGTTGTTTTGTCCAATTAATATCTGGAGTCTTTAAACATATCACAAAAACTTATTAGATAAAGAAATTGTTACCTATTATGAAGTAGAAGAGGAAAAAGTAGAAGAAAAATAAGAGGGGAGGAGGAGGAGGAGAATTTGCGGAGAGTAGGAAAAGAAGATTTATCTGAAGAAAGAATGATATGAAGACTAAGAAATGAAGTAGCGGAAAAAGAGGAAAGAAAATGAATGTTTACGAAAGGAATAAAGAAAGAAAAAGAAAGAAAGAGATGAAGAAGACAGGATATGAAGGATTATCTCAAAAAGAAGAGGAGGTTTTAGGGAAAGTTTAAGGTGTAATATCTAAACAAAGAAAGAAAGAAAGGAAGGGAAACTATTCGAGAAAGAATAAGAACAGGGAAAAAGTAAAAGAAAAGAAAAGTTATCTAATGAAAAAGAAAGAAAATAATATTGTTTATTGTTTGAAGAAGAAGAAGAAGAAGAAGAAGAAGAAATGAGTATAAAGAGATAATAAAAATAAAACAATAAATCACCACCTCTTTTTTCCAAGTTTGTTTTTCAAAATACCTGAAGATAAAAATAAATGCAATAAAATAAAACAAACAAAAAAAGCAACTGAATGGAATTTCTCCGATGAAAATCAAAATATTTTCTTATCTCATGGCTCTTTTATGGATTTTCGCTTTTTTTTTTGTATCAATCAATACCTGATTAAAGAAATATTCTAAAGGGAGATAATCAAAATTTACCCATACATAAAAAAATATATCAACATAATTTCTCTTAAAGTAATGACAAAAGGAAAATCAATATTCTTGAATGAATTAATCTATAAAACTAAGCTAAAAATAGAAGGAAATTATTTGTGTAGACAAACTGCACGATATCCACCTATTTTGAACCTAAATTTTAAAAAATTACTAAGTAAAACATATATCTTAAGCCTTTTTTGTCTTCTTCACTTGATTCACGAGAGGGAGAAAAGAACGAACAGCAATAATTTGAAATACACAATAAGCGAAGCGAATTATCGCTTCAAACATGTTTGGGGGAATACAGAGGAGACATTTCAGATCAATGGAAAATTTAAAGATTTATATAAAAAATACACATATATAAGACCTATCTACAAGGGGAATAACGTTTTAATCTACACATATATACTAAAGTTCCTTTAATTGCTAAAACCAATGTCATTTTTCGTCTTCCTTAATCTCGTCCTCGGCGTTAGAGCTGCGATTTTAACATTGAGGAAAAACAGCTTTCCCAGTTGCACGAGATACGTGGCCGTATTGACAGATCGGTGCAAGACATGAGCAATCTGCTCGGCCTGTCACTGTAAAGAAGCCTGGTACACAGTGACGTCTCACTGCAAGCAAGATGCATGCATGTTCAGCAAGATCTCCACAAATGGGCGCTGACACTCAGAAAGATAATAATTCTGAGAGACTTTTGTCGTTTTCACGGACGTCGTCATTTTACTGTTCCTAATCTATGGAAGTTTTTTTATTAAATTTACCATTTAGAGTAGATTTTACTCCTAATTGAATCCTCATTGGGTACCCTATACGTGTAGCTTTGTCTCAAATTAAGCTAGGATTTATTCCGATTCTTTTGTGTGCCTTGTCAATTCAGGACCTAAGCGAACAATTTTTTCCACAAATTCCTAGGTTTACAACAAATTACGTTGAAACAACTGTTTTGTATGATCAACGCAGTTAAACAACGTCGAGCCTGGTCAGTATTTAGATGGGTGACCGCTTGAGGATACCATATGCTGTAAGCTTTTATGTGCAGGTGGTGCAATGTCTAACGGCATGGAATTAGAGGCCGTCGAACCGAGTTACAATTCCAGTCGAGATCGAGATAGATAGATAGATAAATAGATAGATAGATAGGGAAGAGACGATAGATAGATAGATAGATAAATAGATAGATAGATAGATAGATAAAGAAAAGATTCTCTCCTGGTCCATTTCAGGTGCATTTTTTTCTGGCGTGTTTATTAATTTTATGCATTTTTAATTTAACAAATTGAATAAAATTTTCTAAATTTGATTAAAGACGATCTTGCATTCTAATTATGTGTAAAATTGTTTTTCCATTTAGTACTCTAAAAGTGTTTTTTTTTCATTGTTCATGTTGAAAAAGGTTATATATTTTTGCCGATAACTTATCCCTAACGAAAAGTTAAATATTTTCCTGTTTTTAGAATAACGACACTTACATGTGATATATATATATATATATATATATATATATATTCGGTCGTTATAATATCCGGGCATCCTTCAGGTGGTTGTAATGTCGAACTGAACCCTTTATTTCGCTCACAGGGGTAGACTGTTCTATTTCCACCTGCATTGTTTAATAGATGAAAACGTTAAATTTTCCGTTTCTCTGTAGGTGTAGGATCTCTGACTGATGGCAAATCTGCCAGGTTTCGATCTCGGCGTGAAGCAATCGGACGTCTAACCACACTGAAAAGCTGTGATACAGTCCTGTCTGTGTATGCCCATATATGCTCTCAGGAAATCCGATTTTAAAAAGAATTCCTACTGCTGCTATTAACGCATTGCTCTTCAACTATGAATTGGTATATTTTGCATGGAAAACGTTAAAATTTTCCTTTCTCTCTAGATATCGTACATCTGACTGTTGTCAAATCGCCGGGTTTCCATCCCTGCTTGAAGCAATCGGACGTCTAGCCAAACGGAAGGCCTATGATACAGTGAAATAGACTGTCTGGATGATATATATATATATATATATATATATATATATATATATATATATATATATAAAGAAATTTCAAAAGAAACGTATGGATAATTTATTATTAATCTGATAAATTTTTAGTTGTTATTGGCATTTGAGTAGACGCTAGAGCGCATATTTTCTCGAAAAATTTTTTTTTAATATTCAGGCCGGTAGGCGAAAATAAATAAATACATTGTTTAGTATATAAACAGAGAGTCTACGAGTATCAATAAAAATAACGTTTAAGTAATATATATATATATATATATATATAGATAGATAGATAGATAGATAATATTAGTCGTCAATATATATATATATATATATATATATATATATATATATATATATATTTAAATATGTTTGAAAGAGTACAGAAACGTTTTATGTTACAAAAAGCAAGACATTTTTTATTATAGGCCATGATAGATTTCAAATAAAAACACACGCACCAGTCGACCGGTTTCATCCCCTCTCATCAGAACTGTTAACGGGGAACACAAATTATTAAGAGAGAAAACAAAAGAAAGTCTGTCATGGATGACGTGAATGAATTAACAGGGAAAGAAAAAAATATAAAAGTTATACCAACAAAGATGCTAGAAGCGCAACACAGCAAGTCCAAGCAAACAGTTTCATTGTTTACAAAGAGCAGATCGCCTGGACCTGATGTACAGTGTCTCCAACACCTTAAGATGGAATAATGAGTGTGCTCTGGCCAAAACAGAAAACCAGTTCACACTGAAATCCATCGCATAAGTGGGATTCTTTATAGAATGATCCGCAATCGAAGACCCATACGTGTTACGAACGGTATCGCCCAACGAAAATTTTTTATTAAGTATTATATTCGAAACCGGTCGACTGGTGTGTGTGTGTGTGTGTGTGTGTGTGTGTGTGTTTATGTGTGTGTGTGTGTATAATAAAAATATTTGAAATCATAATATATATAATAAAAATATTATATATTTATATATATATAATATATATATATATATATATATATATATATATATATATATATATATATATATATATAAATTCCCAAGAGGATAGAATCCAGGTAGAACTCAATGTCCAGGACAGAGTAAGAATATAATATAAAAGGCTCAAATACTAATAGTCCATGGTTATAATTTATTACATTGGAATCGTAATCACGTTCCAAATCATCAGACCTACAAATTCAAATGGTCTGATGATTTGGATCGTGATTACGGTTCCAATGTAATAAATTATAACCATGGAATATTACGTTTGAGTTTTTTATGTTATATATATATATATATATATATATATATATATATATATATTTTTTGTGTGTGTGCAACAATTTTTAATTAATGCATGTTTCATTAAATAATATAGACAAGTTTTGTCTATTTATTTTAAATAAGTTCCTTTCATATTGTCTGATAAGCTTAATCACATTATCGTTGAAAGACGAAAGGAAATCATCATACTGAGACATGTTTAAATCCAATCTAAACTGCATGCAACAAAAACAGACTATCATTATTGTTTCGTCCGTGTATCGGTAGATATATTGAAAAGTAATTGCCTTCTTTGATAATGGTTTATGCTAATTTCCCTCTGAAAGTTCTCCATTGCTTTAACCGGGTATTGAACTCACACTCTTTGGGTCCTGCCGTTGGATCTAACCAACGCCTTTATCCACTGTACCATGTGTCCTTGAGGACACATGGCACAGTGCATATGGCACTGATAACTGATATCCATTAAACATGGCACGTGGAACTAGAACAGTCTACCCAAGTGAGCGAAATAAAGGGTTAAGTTCGACATTACAGCCACCTGAAGAAGGCCAGAGCGTACAACGCCCGAAACGTTGTAATAAATATGGCGACAAAGATGTGGACAATAGTCCGAATAATGTAAATTATAGACATGCCTACCTATTCAAATTAGACATATTTTCGTGTTTACCAAATGATTCCTACTAACAAAGAATAAAATAAATTCAGTCATTTCTTTCTCTGTTATTGATTTAACTATTTTTATTTATTAATAAAGTTGTTTCAATTTAACCTTTTTATTTTTTGTGGAAGGGTGGATTCTGTCCATCTAATATCTTGGTAGATGTTACGTTGCCACATACATATTGCAAATTAATTTATTTGAAATAATTAAAGTCGTTTGATTTTTGAAATGTGTTCTCACCTCTCGACCTCGACTTGTCATTGAGTTATTGGTGCTGATTGTGGCCAAATTTAATTCGACGTTCTTCTAATGAATAATGGGATTATTTTAGAAGCTAAAATGAAAGAAAAGAGACGAAAGTAAAAAGGTAATGGAACGAAAACCATATTTGAATTAATTTTTCGGCAGCTCACTTTTTTAAAAAAATATTTTCCTTTTTGTTTCTTTTTGCAATTTTTCGTTCCGTCTGTGCGTTTTTTTTTTCTTTTGTGATTCTGCTTTTTTTACGGCGCCCTTTAGCACATAATTCAAATTGAAAAAAAGAAAAAAAAAGCTAATTTGAACTTTGTGTAATGTCGTCTTAAATAATGTGGAGGTCAGACAATTACGAAGATTCTAAGAAGATGCGAATAATCGTGGAATGCCTAAAGGAAAAACGATACACAATAAAGAAAATAGAGAATGGAGAAGCTAGATGGTACACTAATAAAAGAAAGAGTGAAAGAGAATGGAGAGTATCTCATAGGACCTATAAATAACGTTCGATATAAATTCAAGAAGGATTATTACAAATATATTACGGCAAAGAAGAAAAGGTGGTTTGAGAATGGCCCGATAGAAATCGCGCATATTAAGGACAGTATATATGCTAGATATTTACTCTAAACATCTACTATTCGCCCTTGCTTAAACTATTGCTGCCAGCTGTTATCCAGTGTTCCTGCTATTTACCTAGAGCTCCTAAATAAAATCCAAAGAAGAATCAGTGATACTATCAGTCCTGATCTGGCTGCTCGGCTTCAGTCACTTTCCCATTGTCATTTCTATAAAAACTTTCATGGTAGTTTTTCGGATGAGCTCTTTACTTTGAATTGTACATATGGAGACTAGTTAGGACTTTCTTAGAGACAATGAGGTATTATGATTGATGCAGTAAGGAAGGTAAGTAAGAATGCATTGTTTTGGTGTCAGGATTATGTGCAGGGCGCAGCTGAGAGACCAACAACAATCCTTGTAACGGCAAAGATGAACTGAAGGCAATAATTATGGCAGCATTCACTAACTTAAAAAGGAGACCGTCCAGAAGAGTTACAGGAGATTCCGAAGTCGTTTGGGAGCCATGATCGAAGGCAACTGGGATTTTATTGAAGAAATTTAATCTTTAGTATTTCAAGATATTTTTATATAATTTTGGTAAATACATCTGTTAAAATGATATGGCAGTGTTATTTTTATTTTTGTGCAATTTAGACGACAATTCATCCATCGCACCCTGTAAGTATTAATCGTTTTTACTTGAATCTATAGGTAAATTTTAAAACGTTACATTTGAGTCTCCGTAGACGGTTGCTTATTCTTAAATATATAGCTAAATAATAGTTATTTAAAATGGAATCGCTAGTTAAGTATTTGGTGCTTAGTTAACTGCATATCTGTTTCTTAGTTGGTTCGCATTTTTCAGTAGAGGTTTGCAAATTTTATTTTATAAAATTTGTCGAATATTCAAACTGGGAGGTAAAAATAACTAAATATACTGTTTATTAATTAAACAGATTGCCTACACAAATACCAGGATCCGTTAAGAATAACGTTAATGTGATATATACTTATGTGTATAGATAAATATTGGTACTACCTACATGTAAATATTGATCATGTGTAACTGGTCCATTTTGGAAGTATTGCTAACTCGTTTGAATGAGTATAGTCACCGTATTCTCGGCATTGGAAGAAAAAGAGTATTTCTTCTTTGCCTGAGACAAAATGGCGTTACCCGTGTGCATCAGTCAGCCATTCTTTGAAAGGTAACGAATGCGACATGTTCCTTAGAAAACCCGAAAGATAAAGCGGTTCTAATATTGGTATTTACCACAGGGAAGCAAGGTGGATTGCTGCTCAGATTGCAGAGTTCGAATTCCAGTCGAAGCTATTACGTACATTTACGTGCTAATACCCTTGGGAAAGGTAAGAATCCTCTGTTTCTCTCCCACCCTCAGCTATGGGTAAATATCAGGAGAGACTATGTTCTATAACCTTGTGTGGCAACCGGTGTAGGAGAAGGAAAAA